AATATATATATAAGTTGTTCTCTCTTTAAATTTTTGAGATACAGTTTCTTCTAACAGATCAAAATGTACCCTAAATCTCTAGTGTATGGACTTGTTCTAGTGTCCTGCCTGATCACATTCTCTCCCCCTTTTTTTTAAAATCTTCTTTCTTTTTTCAAACAACTTCTTATCAATTCCTTTTACAAAATCTTTTATAATTTTCATCTTTATTGTCATCATCCATCCCTTCATTGTATCAACCCTTATTTTGTACATATATGTCTTTTGTTCTTTACAGTTTTAGGAGGCATTATCTCCTAACAGACCAAAATACACCCAAAATGTAGTGTATGGCACTGATCTATGCACTAGCCTGATCATATTCGATCATATTCTGTTTTTTTATTTTGTTTTGTTCTGTTTTTGTTTGTTTTTATCTTTTTCTTTTCTTTTTTCTTTCTTTCTTTTTTCTTTCTTTCCCTTTCTTTTCCCCTGGTTTCAGGTCTTTTCTGATTTGTTTAGAGTATATTTTCTGGAGACGTTGTTAACCTGTTAGCATTTTGTTCTCTCATTCATCTCTTCTCCTATGGACAAAATGACAAGATGAAAAAAATCACCTCAGCAAAAAGAACAAGAGGTAGTACCGTCTGCCAGGGACCTACTCAATATGGACATTAGTACGATGTTGGACCTAGAGTTCAGAATCATGATTTTAAAGATACTAGTTGGGCTTGAAAAAAGCATGGAAGTTATTAGAGACACCCTTCCTGGACAAATAAAAGAACTAAAATCTAAGCAAATCAAAATCAAAAAGGCTATTAATGAGGTGCAATCAAAAATGGGGGCACTAGCTGCTAGGATAAATGAGGCACAAGAGAGACTTAGCGATATAGAAGACCAAATGATGGAAAATGAAGAGGCTGAGAAAAAGAGAGAGAAACAACTACAGGATCACAAGGGCAGAATTCGAAAGATAAGCGATACCATAAGACGAAACAACATTAGAATAATTGGGATCCCAGAAGAAGAAGAAAGAGAGAGAGGCGAAGAAGGTATATTGGAGCAAATTATAGCAGAGAACTTCCCTAATGTGGGGAAGGAAACAGGCATCAAAATCGAGGAGGCACAGAGAACCCCTCTCAAAATCAATAAAAATAGGTCAACAACCCGACATCTAATACTAAAACTTACGAGTCTCAGAGACAAAGAGAAAATCTTGAAAGCAGCTCAGGAGAACAGATATGTAACCTATAATGATAGAAACATTAGATTGGCAACAGACCTATCCACAGAGACCTGGCAGGCCAGAAAGGACTGGCAGGATATCTTCAGAGCACTAAACGAGAAAAATATGCAGCCAAGAATACTATATCCAGCTAGGCTCTCACTGAAAATTGAAGGAGAGATAAAAAGCTTCCAGGACAAACAAAAACTAAAGGAATTTGCAAACACGAAACCAGTCCTCCAAGAAATATTGAAAGGGGTCCTCTAAGCAAAGACAGAGCCTAGAAGCAGCAGAGACCAGAAAGGAATACAAACATTATACAGTAACAGTCACCTTACAGGCAATACAATGGCACTAAATTCATATCTTTCAATAGTTACCCCAAATGTAAATGGGCTAAATGCCCCAATCAAAAGACACAGGCTATCAGATTGGATTAAAAAACAAGACCGATAGATATGCTGTCTGCAAGAGACTCATTTTAGACCCAAAGACACCCCCACATTGAAAGTGAAGGGCTGGAAAACGATTTACCATGCTAATGGACACCAAAAGAAAGCTGGGGTGGCAATCCTTATATCAGACAAATTAGATTTTAAAACAAAGACTGTAATAACAGATGAGGAAGGACACTATATCCTACTTAAAGGGTCTATCCACCAAGAAGATCTAACAATCGTAAATATCTATGCCCCTAACATGGGAGCAGCCAATTATATAAGCCAATTAATAACAAAAGCGAAGAAACACATTGACAACAATACAATAACAGGGGGGGACTTTAACACCGCCCTGACTGAAATGGACAGATCATCTAGGCAAAAGATCACCAAGGAAATAAAGACTTCAAATGACACACT